AAGCATTTTGATTCACAGATTGCAGTGCAAGTCTAGCCAAAGTCTGCTTTCTGCAGAGAACTCTACATACGAATATGATTTAATGTAGATCCGTAGAAGTCTCGAGAAGCAAAGGCCTGGCTATTATACGAATTTTTTCTTAGAGGTATTTTAGAGCATAGCCATCGATAGAAAATGATATTTCGTGAGGTGTTACGAAGTGGGAAAGAATAAAATATCTATGTGACTGACATTGTAAATTAGGAAGCCTAGTCAGACACCGACCACTTAGTGGAAATGTTGCAAAAGTGAGTAAACAATTTAAGACAAGTTGGAGAGAGGTTTGCTGAAGAAGTTTTGTATGGAATGAATGGATTCGCGAATTGCGATATCTTATCGCACCGCATGGACTAAGTCCATTTTATTCGCACGAAAAGCCCATTTCGCGGGACTTTCGTGGTTATCATTCCAGAAATTTCCCAGAGGGGTTAAGGTGTTGCTTATCAAAATATGATTTATTTTAGTTTTTAGTATCCTACGGTAAGGTTGCGGTAGTCATTCTGTACGGATCCAACGTTGAGGCTTTTGATAAAAAATTGTGTTTCAGAATTATTTTACGTGCTGATCACGATTATAGCGTCCAATTTGTTCACTACTGTCCCACAGAGGGGTCATGGTAGCAATACGGTAAATTTTTGTAAGAATTAAGAAACCAACGTAAGGGGGTGTTAGCATTTGGAACTATTATTTTCGTAGTTAACATGCTATAAAAATATACATTTAGAATTTGAGCTTCTTGGGATGAACTACGGAAAAAGCAGTAAAATCATGAAGTCGATAATTTTTGATGGGCTAGCATCAATCTCTTGCCCGCCTCGTATTACTTGTGAATGTACACTTGAATGTACAGAAATAGCCTCATTCTAAGAAGTATCTGAGCTAAACTCTGTGCCTTATCTTAATTCACCTTCATATACCTATTGTCACATTACATTACAGTATCCCGCGCTCGGACGACTCTGGCTGAAGCTTCGCCTAGGTGTCCCTAGTCATGTGTCACAACCCACAAAATCTCATTGTAAACTGGCAAAGCTAGAGCTCCAGCAATCTTACGGCCCACCGATGGGTCGTATTGTGGGAATGTGTTAACTGACTTTGTTGACACACATGTTCAATTCAACCGCCTGTACCGCCACCGAGCGGTCGGCTTTTATCGATACTGCGGCAAAGGTCAACCCGTGCTCCCATCCCCTGCCCGTATCCGTCTAATCGAGGATTTTCGTTTATTTATCTGAGGATTATTGGATATTTTGCTTCGCAGTAGCTATTCTTCTCCCCGATTCAGCTGAAATGACCGAGACCCCGCTCTACCCTCTGCAGCCTTGAGAAAGGCAGAAACGACGTCTACATTTCGATCTGACACCTCCCGAATTTACAAGTGCAGCCGAGGACCTTCTCAGGGATGAAAATATTCCACTCTACGCACGGATTATATTAGGATATCTGATGGAGTCTCACAAACAAGTGAAAGTTCTCAGTGATCGCAATCGTGAGTTAGTTGAGACTTCTAAGACTTTGTCGAACAAATTGGATATTTTGCAAAAAGAGAATGACAGACTTAGGTCTGTCATTGACAGCTCCAATGTTCGCGATCATCCTCTGCCCTCTTCAATTCAACATAAAGAAATCGATGATCTTAAGCGGAAAGGAAAGAGCTCTAGTCATCGTAGGAGTTTCTGAGTTTCAAGGAATTAGAAGTTTGGATAGGATCAACCACGACCTCAATTGTATTGAGCAGATTCTAGATTTTTTGAGTGTTGACTGTAAACCAGTCACTGTTTACCGTATGGGGAGGCCATCCTCCACCCATAATAGGCTTTTGAAAGTTATGCTTCCCTCATCATTCTTTGTGAGATTGGCGCTTCGGCGAGCGTATCAAATGAAAAACTTTCCATACAAGAGGGGGGGCTTTATTCGTCCCTCTCTTCCAAAAGAAGAGAGGGATAAGATCCGTAATCAACGGATGGCTCGCCGTAGTGGACAATCACCTCGGGATCAATCGATTATGTTAGTGTGCTCGGGAAATGTATCTAATGTTTCCAATATTGATCGTATTGAAGTGTTGATAATGATGCCACTAGGGTCAAGCAAGGTGAGGCTGGGGTGCAACAGTCCGACCCTTTAAACACTTAGCTTCTCCCCGGACTGTTGATAGCTCTTTGAGTTGCTTCTCAGCCAATGCAAGATCATCAAGCAGAAACAGTGAAAGCTTGAAATTTCATATCATTACTGGTAAGCTTTCTGTGGTGGGAATCACAGAGACATGGCCAAATGAAAACATATGTGAAGCTTCTTTGTTCGGTAGTTTTGGAGGTAGGTATATAACACATAGATGCGATCGGATAAATAAAAGAGGAGGGGGCTTATTGTTCCTCACTGACAAAGATCTCAGTCCAAATATGGTGTTCAAGGAATCACTGACAGAGAGCTATGAAATAATGTCTATTGATATCTCCGGTTATAGGGCAATTCGGCTGATCTTGATATACAGGGCCCCAGACTGCTCATATAATGCAACCTTGCAGATGTTGGCTGCTATCTCTGACTTGCTAGTTAGTTCTAATTCAGTGATTCTCATGGGGGACTTTAATTTCCCTGGAATCAACTGGGATGATTTACATGCACCCAAAGCGTCAAACTAGCACCTTTGGGAACTAGCGATCATTCAGCGATCAGGTTTTCTATAAACACCTTCAATGCCCACGATGCATGCGTTGTTAAACGTAGGGACTTCAAGCATGCGGACATACAGGGATTGCGCGAATATCTGCTTGAGGTAGACTGGTATAGGTCCTTCGGTAGTGTAAGCTCAGTCGGCCAAATGCATGAGATGTTTTTATTTATACTGCATCATAGCATTGATTGTTATGTTCCGCTGACCCCTGTTCTCATGACAGAACGTTATAAGCCAAAGCACCTTATTAGGCTTGACAAAAAAAGGCAACGAGCATGGATCAATTTAGTTGAGAATGGTGGGGCTGAGCAAAGGGATGGTTATACTAGGTTGGACACTAAGTCTAGAAAAGGTTTACAAAAGTACAACTCCTCTGTGGAAAAATCATACAAAATCATACATAGCGACAATAAATCACTGTTTTTCAAAATGGTTAGTTCAAGGCTCAAGAAGAAAAGTGTGCTTGGAATTTTACATATTGATAATGGTCAAATCATCACGTCTGATGTTGATATAGCGGAATGTTTGGCTAATGTTTTTGAGAATGCATTCCAAAGTGAAAGCGGGAAAGATGATGTTACGGTCATGATAAATTCCAGGACCACGAGTGAAGAGGTGTGGTTTTACAGAGAGGAAATCCAAAAACTTTTGATGAAGTGGCCTAAGTCCACCTCATTGACTCCTGATTTCCTTTCACCCCAAATTATTAAGTCAGTAGCGGGCATTATTTCTGGTCCCTTGGAATACATTTTCAATTTGAGCATGATGAGAGCGGAAGTTCCAGAAAGGTGGAGAACGTCTTTTGTGTCGCCAATTCCTAAAAGGAAACCCCACACTTGTCCAAAAAACTCCAGACCCATTAGTATTACTTCAATATTTGCGCGCTTGTTTGAGAAAATTTCAAAGAAAAGCATAGTGAAGTATTTGGAGGAAAACAATGTTGTTGACACTGCGCAGCATGGATTCCAGAAAGGAAGGTCCACCACTACTGCTATGCTTCAATCTCTTAATGAATGGACGGTGCATTTAGAAAACGGATTGAGTACGGATACGGACGTTATTTACTTGGATTTCGCTAAGGCTTTTGATAAAGTCCCACATAGTAAACTCATGCAAAAACTTGAAGCTGTGAGTATACATCCGCGGATCCTTGTTTGGTTAAGAGCCTTTCTGACGACAGAACCTTTGTAATACGAATAAACAACTCATTCTCTAGACCTAGAAAAATGAATAGTGGAGTACCGCAAGGAGGTGTTCTTTCACCGTTGTTGTTCAATATTTACACATATGATCTTCCCATTATCCCAGTTTCTCATGGAGTGAGTTGCACTGCTTTTGCCGATGACTTTAACACATTGACGACCGCTTGACACACATGGTGTGTCAAGGCTTGACACACCATGACTCTCATTGGAATAGCTACTAATTTGCGTCAAACCAACTTTAGGAGTTTCCTTTTGATGTGGATCTAGATACAACCTCAACTATTTTTGTCAGCATTCCAACGCTACTGTAGGTGTACTGTAGATGGAACTGCGCGTGATTTTATCTGAAAAATGTTGGCTGGTCCGAGAAAAGCTTTGGTCATCAATGTGTTAAGCTGTATGGAGTTGTTATGGATGATAGTGGATATAGGCTGCTGCAGGATGCGTTGAATGGTGTTTATAATTGGTCGCTGAAGTGGGAATTGCCAATCTCCCTAAAGAAAACTAAGGTGCTTCACATAGGCCCATATAAAGGAAACTATAATTATTCCATGGGAGGGAAAGAGCTTGAAATAGTTGAGTCAATACGTGACCTGGGTTTCCTTATAAGAAATGACTTTACATTTGATGAACATTGTAAGCTCATTGCAGATAAGGCTATGAGATGTTATTAACTTGTTCAGGACGCTCTCCTGCAACAAGGTTGAAGTTTTTCTAAAGGCTTATAAGCAGGGTAAAGCGGAGGGTGCGGCACACGACCGTCGGATACGACCCCCCCCCCCCCCTTGGACCGGACCTCGGCACGACCCCCTCCCCATTCCCTACCCCCCCCCCCCCCAGCAACAGCGTGCTTAACATTCTGAATGTCACAGTAAGAGAAAAGAACAGTTGTGGGTACAGCTAGACTAATTAGACTGACCTTACATTTCACCTCCAACAGGAATGAACCCAAGTCGTCTAGAAATTTGATCCCCATTTCAAAATCTTCCACTTGATTTGTCTGCAACAAGCATTGGTGCAGGAATCAATTAGACAAGAAGGTTGCCAGCACTTTTTATTCAGAAACGACCACATTCACAAACTCAAACATTTGAACTCGTCTTAACCTTTACAAACTTCATAGCCATTAAAAGAGAGATCATATTGTGGCTGACAGTTGGTAAACTGTCTTTCTTCAAGTCAGTGAGTATTGCCATGAATTGCCTAAAACCCATTCTACTTTAAAGCAGCGAAAAAAATACAGACAAAAATGAATTCATACTTGTGAATCTGAGTGAAATGAGTTTCTGACAAGACACCAATAACCTCTGCATAAGTTTCAGCTACGACGAGACTGTTAGTATTGTTGACGCCCAGTGTAGTCCTAAATATTATGAATGCAAATCGTTATAATTAGACGAGAGGCAAGCAAATCAGGTGATCTCCTGCAACTTACGGATCCTTATACTGCACTTGCTGAAAAGAACTGTCAACCATTCAAGTATTTTACTTGTTGCTCACAGCACTAAGATGGAACTCGACCCAAAAAAAACTGTTCTAGATGAAACATTCAAAAGACAGAAACAGAAAATACGAACCTGTGGGAGAATTTCTATGGGAACTATGCAAAACAAATAGTTGACAGCAAGTAGTTTCTTGACAAGCACACGATTATCAGCACTGAATCAAAAAAAATCGAAAGACATCAAGGAATCAAAATCAAGAGTGAAACAAAACCCAGAAATTAGAAAAATGACCAACCCTGGATTGATGCTCTCGTTGATCTTCAGTTCCATTCGCTGATGCCATGATATTAAAGCGTTGACAACAGATGGTAAGCAAAGCTCGCTAATCCCGTGTAGTGTGCGACATAAAGTGTCAAAGTACGGATCGCCACCGCGCTGCAGTGACTTATTCAGAAGTTTCTCCTGAAAAAAGTACAAGAACATCATTTTCTTGCCCTGAGATCGCTCGTCGAATTGCTCCTCTATGTATGATAATTCGCAACCAAGCTACTACCTCCTCCTTTTTGGTGTGAAAGTAATAAGCTAAAGTCTTACTCGATTGAAAGAAAAAATTTTGATGGGGAGAAACTCACAATGAAACATCTTTCGGATCGCAGCAGAGTGTTGATAACCTTTCAAAAGTGTATCAATCTTTGACAAGCGATGCTAAAAAGAATCCAAGGCTCTCTTTAAAGCTGGAATGAGTATTTATGCATAGAAAGTATAAGAGTATAAATAAAAATAAAAAATACAAGTAAAGATAAAATGAAAAAAATGAGCATGAACATACCTGATCACTAGATTTTGCACTAATCTCCCTAGTTTCTCTTGGTTTTCCTGCCTCCTGTACTCGCACTTTGGGTGCAGCAGTACGCACCATCGTGCAACTGTCTGCGACTTGTGCACATACCATAGCCTAAAACAGAACTTATAATTTTTGTCTTCACTAATGCTAAAATCAAAGACACTTAGGTTTCCAACGCAACTCACTTTAGACTCCGGCTCTCGACGGTGAATGGCCAGAAGTTGACCTATGCCTACAGCCATTGTCTGATCATCCGGCGATATTGCTAGACTCAACACTGGTGCAGCCATAGACATCGAATGAAGCTAAAACAAAAACTCATCTGATCCCAAGGCAGCGCAAAGATCAAAACTGAATTACCAATGTAAAATCTATCAATCGGAAAGCATTAACTACTGTCTATTCTACCTGATAACAATACATCACCATTTTTGGCTAAGCAAAGGGAAGTGACTGTTTTATGATGCTGCTGTAGTGGCATCAGTTGCCTCCCTCCAGCGGCTACATCCCAAATTCTAAATCAGAAGATAGGGGGGGGGGGTAGACCACACAACGGACAATGTACTAACCTGACGATGGGACTAGCAGCAGTGGCTATCAAGTGCTCATTATTGAGAAACACAACGCTTTCAACAGGGAAGTTGGCATCCACTTCCACGGTAGGACCATCGTTTACACACTGACAATCCCATAATTTTACCTGAATTGTCTCAATGAGAAATGACCATAAATAAAAGCAACATACTTTGTGATCATATCCTCCGGTCAAAAGAAGACTTTCATTGGGGGCAGAAATAGCGCTTGCTCGAATGGCATCCTTATGAGCTGTGAATTCCAAAGTTGGCTTTGAACTGCAACACAATATATCTGCGTATAATACGTAAACTTTGCAGGTACCTTGTATCAGCTATATCCCACTGTTTGACTATTCCATCACTCGCCATAGAATACAATTTTTTACCGCAAGAGGAGAACTCAACACAACGGACACTGCTCTGACTTGCACGTACACTACGCAACGGAGTCTAGAAAGGGCTAAATTTGCAGCACAAGAGGAAAACTTAAAGATATGACGAAAAACAAACATACTTTGCCAGTGCCACTGGTGCGAGTGACGTCAAAAACACGTATTTTTCCTTCCTCGCCGCCAATTGCTGTAATGAAAAGTCCGTGTAAAACATAAAAGGTTTCAATAAAAGAAAGTATACTAAATTAACATTCTGTGTTTCGATCACAAAATAGTCTTGATGTTTGTACAAAAACACACTGCTTTTCGCAATTTTTTGCGAACATGAAAACGCTAGGAGCGAGAAGAGGGGAAAACAGAAATTCACTCACCGACCAACTCTCCATCATGTCGAAACCGCACACCATGTACAGCTTGCTTGAATCTGCAAAATAGTGTTTGCCAAATGCCAAAAGGCAGAAAATTTCCAGATGTACTCACCTACTGAACATATTTATGGGTTCACATTCTACAATATCATACAACGAGAGCCGAACGGAACTAGTAGATGCAACGTTGTAAGGCTTTTTAGGGCAGAAAGCTACTGAAGTGACAGAGGATGGTTCTTGGAAGACGGATAGTTGCTGAAGAAGATGGATATTTCGTAGATGATGATTCACCTGCAAATCGCAAAGTGCTGGCAAAGCGACACGCTGGATACAGCTTAATAAAGTCAACAAAAAGGTATCAATCACCTTGACAAGTTTCGAAGATCAAATAAAATTAAAAACAAAAGTGTGAATGGTTCTCGTACCTGCATCCGTCTCCAGTAAATAACATCATCATCTAATCTACGATGAAACTCGTTCACTGCCGCTCGACCAGCAGGAGCATATGAAACTGCCATCTGTAACAATCACGATAATGAAGATCAAAATGGATTTATGAGATATAAGTTGCGAACTCAAACTTAGCAGGCAGAATACAAAACCTTCATTTGTTTTACATACATAACAACAACAAGCAACTATGATAATGCCAACAACCACAAAATCAACAGCACAAAGGAAACAATGACATCAGTCTACACTTCATTCAGTCTCATCGAGATTACTTTCCCACAATCAGATATATACTAATTAAAAAATGAATTATGCTCCCTTTGGTGAACTAGTTGGTAAAAGAAATATCAGAGTTCTGATAGGGGCATATATACAAAGTGAGGTCACAGTCACCAAAAAGGTCACGAGCAAAACAAGAAGACGTTACTACAAACGAGTGCAAAGCGAAAAAAAGGGAGACACTGCAATAAAAGAAGAAAGAAACAGGAACATAGAAACATAGAAAACATAGGAACATAGAAACATCTTGAAAATGAATGCGAATTTCAAACTGTCCTGGCTCCCGCCCTTGGTGTGATGGCAGTTTTTGGAATCCTACCGTACACCAATATTTTCGGCGGTTTTCGGAGTAGGTGCTTCGGTGAGTAGGGTTCAGAAAACCCACTGTATCTCTTCTAAGAGGACGCGCTTGGGGGGGGGGGCAAATGCTACTACGAAGAGGGGAAGGATGGCTCAATAGAATGATGTAAAAAAGGGTTCCGTTTGAGCGTTTTGAAGGTGAGTTAATGGGATGCGGCACTCCCCCCCCCTTAAAAGCTGCGGCAGCCGCAGCTTTTGAGGGGTGGGGGAGGTGCCGCACCCCATTAACTATATCAAAAAGGCATTTTTAGTAAACATCATTTATATGAATCGATAGCCTAAACCTCGTAGATTTCATAGGAGTGTTTTGAGCCTGATTCGTCTTCTTAGCTCTGTGTAATAATTAGGAAAAGCACAGCCATTGAAATTTGTAGGTGGGACTTGGCAATCTTCTGGTTCCACAGCATGGAGGTTTCTTGAAGTGGGATTTCTCATGCAAGGAAGGGAGGGGTAGTGCTTTGTATTGAATGCAAGAAGAGGTATCTTACTCACCTTCAAAGTGGAGTTAATCATGTTTGAAATTACTGTTTCATACAAGTTAGTTTACTATTCGGAGACCTCAGAGTTCGCTGAAACTTGACGCATAGGGGTTATTCGACACGCTGATTACAACAATTATACTTGATTAGCGGTACGGTAGGTTACGGTAGGCATACGGTATCTGCAAGTTTGTATCATTGAACTTGAATTTTGCAGGACTTCTATAGCGTCCGCTTTTGACCTTGGATCGATACGACCCCCCCCCTCACCTACCCCCCCCCTCCCCTACGACCCCCCTGTGTGGCGTGCCGCACCCCCCGCTTTACCCTGCTTATAAGACTTTCATAAGGCCTATGCTTGAATATGGTACTATCATCTACAGCCCTCATTTGCGCAAAACAGCCGACTATCTTGAGAAGGTTTATAATAGTTTCACGCGTAAATTATTTATTAGATCTACTGGATTGGTATATGACCAGATCCCGGATGGAAAGACACGTAATCTTAACCTCAAACTTCCGATATTAGCGCACAGAAGACGTATGTTTAATTTGATCATGGCGCATAAAATCATGTTTGGGGATTATAAACTGCATGTTAATGTTTTCCTATCAGAAAGTCTAATACTCGGGGAGGACGTATGAAACTAGTGCTACCAAGAGCAAAGTTCAGAGTCAGAGCAAACTTTTATACTTGCTGTGTTTTACGCGATCTTGATCATATGGTAAGGAACGGCATGTTGACGGTGAAGCTATCTTTACTTACAATCGAGAAGCTGCGTTTGATCTTTTACACCTCAGGCTGGTTTTTTTTATCATGTCGTTAATGTGTTCTGTTTTATTGTTCTCTTTTTGTTTTACGTTTTTGTTTTTGTTGTCCGACTTTGCACATGGGGGTCATCCTATGTAACAATAAGATAAAAAATAAATAAAATGTTATCGCTAATCTCAGTATCAACCAACTACGATTCCCCTTCCCTCTTTGACGTCTCAGTACAATACCGCTCACATTTTTTGAAAAATAGACGTTAATGTATGGACATGTATGGACATGTACGGACATGTCCATGCATGTATGGACATGTCCGTACATGTCCGTAGATGTCCATGCATGTATGGACATGTCCATACATCAGCGTCGCGTGGCCATATCTCGCTTGAGTGGACGAATTCTGAATCCAAAGCCACCATTCGATTCAGCTCGGCGCGGAGAATCTTCTGATTTATGGGAAGTGTGGGTGCGATGTCTTCGATATTCTGTTTTCAGTTTTTTTCAATTTGTTCTGCGGAGGTCCTTTCGCGAATATGTGAAGCAACGCCTACCCAACATAGAAGACTTTACTAAGTACTATTCGATAATACTGTTTTTGTAGACTATTGTGCGCTAAGAAGTAGGCTCAGACTTCTTTCCAAAGGAGATAGAAGCGTTGGTGAATTTTGGGAAAATCACGTGTTTTTAAATTCTACTCGCCATAACTTCCTTCGGAACAAGTATGTTTTGAATCCGAAAACAGCGCCTTGCTCAGCTCATCAAGGCAAATCTTCTCATATACAGCATGTCCTTGATATTTCGATTTCAGTATTCTCGAATCTTTCTGAGGACGTCTTTTCGCGAAGGTGTAAAGCAGCGAGCATTGTCCCGAGTACATTCCAGCAAGAACATTTCGATATCACTTTTTCTGTAGACTATAATATGCTAAATAGTAGCCGCAGAGTTCTTTTCAAAGGGAATAGAACGGCGAGTGAATTATGGAAAAATCTTGTCGTCCCAAATTCTACTCGCCATATCCGCAGGATACGAAGCTATCTTGCTAAGCAGACGTGAGTTTCGAAATCAGCAGGTTGCATAACCTCTACGAGCAAGTTTTCCGATATGTTCAGGTTATTCCATTTTTTCTCGTTTTACGCTCCGGAATCGCCGATGGATTTTGGTCAAAATGTTGATGCTCTTGAATTGTAGGGAAACTTCGCTTATAGAGGTTTTCGAACACGCTCTTTACGAAAATCGTAGTCTTTGAGGATTACAGGGTCTTTTTGGAGAGATACGGTGAGGTGACTGTGACTGCATCACGAAAGTGCGTTTTGGCCGCACTTCTCGCGGATCTGTCAGAAACCTTGCCTGATTGCTTTTCTCAGTCAAAGTTACTAGGAATTTTGCTACCGAATGGTGCATTACTCCGGCTCCAGTCTGTGAAATTCGCCGAGTTACGAGCCTACGAAAACACGTTCTCATGAATTTTGCCCAAAATGTAAAGATCGCATATCTCGTCGAAATTCCTCCGTGAGCGCTTGTACAACGCGCTGATCAAATGCTTTCACATTTTTATTTATTTATTTATTTATTCTATACGCCCTTGGCTTTCCATACAATAGAATAGAAAGCAGTCATTTATACTCTAATCGCAACGATAGTGCATCATTAGTTTAGGTCTAATCTTGATAGAAAAGTGATGAAAGCTTGTATTTGACTGCTCTATGATTATACTTATCCGAATTAAATGATGCGATTCATGGAGATGTACCCATGCCCCCTTTTGCCAGCAAAATATTTTGATTTAACAAACAAACAAGGTTTGATGGTGGGTATATTACTAATAATATATATTAATACTTAATATATTAATATAATATAAATATATATTAATAATATATAATATATTAATATAAATAAATATATATATATATATTTATAATATATATTATTATTATATTATATTATATTTATTTATAATATATTAATATAAATAAATATATATATATATATACTTAATATATATTAATACTTACTTATAATAATACTTATTAATACTTGCCACTACCTCTTTGAGACTCAGAAGAACAATTTATGATCAAAATCTCGTCTACAAGATTATGACTAAAAGAATCTATCTCACGATGCACGATTTTTTCGTACTATCCAACTTTAATGCTATAACTAGAGGACATAACTTCAGGTTTATCATAGGAAAGGTGCAAACACAGCAATTTCATGACTCTTTTCCGATACGCATAATCAACACATGGAACAAGCTTCCAGTAACGGCGATTAAAGCTTCATCGACATTTGTGTTTAACAGAGAAGTTCAAAAAACCTTGAAATCTAAAGGATTCTTCTAACAACATTTTTTTACAGAACGGTGTAAAAAACGCTTTATTGGATCACTATTACTGATCTTCGGCCAACTATTTCAAAACGCCAAAATTACCATTCAGCACCTCTGTATTTTTTATCTTCTATGTATTCTTCTCCTCTGTGTATTTTTTTATTGATAGTTTATGTCTCTTTTGCACAAAAAAAAATTTTTGTTTATGGCGAATCATTTTCCTTATTGTCCTGATCCTGCCGCTTATTTGAAAAGAGATTCTTTTTTTGAGGGCTAAGTCAGCTAGCTTTTGCCCGCAAGCTCGCTGGCATTTAAACAATGGGATGCACATTACTTTTCAAAAGGCAGCAAGATTTTTTATGTCGGTTATTTGAGTCCAAACTGTACTTATGTTGTGTGATCTTTTTTTGGAATCGACTATTTACGTAAATAAATAAATAAATAAATATTATCTTACCCCACCAAACCAGTAAACCAGTGTGAGCCCGTGATTCCAAGTGAATTTCAGTAAGGGTTGTAATGGTGGATAACTCATACGTGAGCGTGATCAAGTTAGGTTATTGTAATCTATGGAGATGGCAATCATACCAACTCATTTGCCAGCAGAAGATGCTCTTGCAATAATGAAGCAAAGCGGGGCTCGGTTGGTGCAGTAATACCAATCAACCTTGCCCAAATGATTCCGGGGAGAGTTCAATGACTCCGAAAGAATATCAAATAGTTTCAGTTTTCGTAATTCATTTAAGAGCAAGTCAACAAGCTGTAATGATTGGGAAGAAAAATAAATTGATTAGACCTGAACTAACGTAATAGCAAGATATGGGCTAGTAAGACATTTGAAAG